AAAGCTAAATGCAAAAAATATCAAGTTTACAGTTATTGAGATGGTCAGCTTATATAGCTATCATCTGCATATATCTCTAAGAATGTACAATATCTTTCATATGCAGCTTCTCCACCCAGCTACCACAGATCCTTTTCCCAGCTAGCAGTAGTCAAATTGGCAATCATTAGAGATAATAACTGAGAACAGAAAAAAGTATAAGGTGGAGAAAATTCTTAAAGAGCAGAAAAATCATCAACATCTTGAATACCTTGTTAAATAAAGAGAATATACATATTCAATATAGAATAATACCATACTCATAAAGAAGACTAGTAGCTCTTGATAAATAAAAGTACTATAAGTATCAAGAGAAGACTTTTAGTGTTCACAAACACCAGCAACAGTGCAATGCCTGAGAAACAGAAGAGAGATATTGTAGAGGATTAAACTCTCTATTCTTCTCAGACTGAGCTCTTGATACTATGCTGTGCTAAGAATCTCAGACTGAGCTTCTCAATGACATGCTGCACAAGAGACTTCTATGCTATTCCCTCTTTGGCTTAGTTTCCACTTCCTCTTTTGGCCTAGCACCATACACAAATGTTGTGAATATATCATACACACACTTACCTACCCTCCTTCTTTTTCCTTTTCCCAAGCAATACATTTGTATATATACTGTAGAGCCTAGCTAGTAGCTTCAGCTCGGCCTGTGACAGTTTTATATCATGTGCAAAAGTGTCCGAGTTCACCATGTGTCCGAGTTCACTGTGAAAGATGTGACACAATTTTCTATTAGAGATCTCTTCTCACACTGTATGATTCTCACATAGAATTGTTTTGTGCTTAATCACTTCCATCATCTTCTAGTATATTTTCTGAATCAAAGCTTTCATTGATACCAAATCATCAATGCTCATAACTGGATTCAGTTGCACAATTGTTAAATTTTGCAGTGCCAAAGTTGCTTGCATTTGCAAGCAGAAACTTACAACATGTCAGCATGTATTTGCATGCACGTGTCCATGACTCATCAGTTTGGTTGAACCCAAGCCTAATGCTAGTATCACCAATCCTATCCTTTTGTATCTCGTAAGGTAGTTTCATGCCAAAAGTTGATGGCTGTGAATGGCTCTGAGATCTGTAGTAAGAACCCACATTTCTGTGTTCCCTCGGGGCACTTGCAGTTGAGGACGCAGCTGGAACTCCATTCGAAAGTGGTACCTTTTCAAGGTAGACGCCAAGTTGTCGAAGACACTCGAGGAACGCTACCATCCCAGCATCGAAGCGTCGGTGAAGCCAGGGTAGGTTAAGTGGAAGATCCCCGGAGGAAAAGAGATCAAGGGAAGTGATAATGGGTGACAGGTTGTCGTCGCGACCTGTCCTAAAATTTGGTTCTCGTTGACTTTGCTCTACCTTTTCAATCCTTGAAACTGAACCCATCGGCCGCAGTCTATATCCCTCAAATTGAAAGCCAAATTTATTAGCAATTGTCGAAAGAAGCAAAACAGTCTGACCCCAAGCAGCATTGACTTCAGCCCATTCAACTGGAGGATTTCCAAGACGTCCCAACCGTAGTCCATTTATGGTGCCGAAGTACCCGTCATGGCCAATACAAAAAGTATCGTTGTAGACATTCGTGCGTTGTAAACGTTCAAGCTGTCGAGAATCATGATCGAATTTAACATTCAGGGTATCACGATCATTCAAGAAACCCCCAAGAGTTAGCCCAAATGTGGTTTGGTCAGTCCAAAACTGTTCCTCGTCCCGATCGAGTTGCTGGCATTGCTCAACTAAGATCGCGATTTCCCTGTCACTTGCGAACTTCTCATTTTCAAGCATTTGTAGCTCATGAAACGCATCGCCTTCCGCTTCCAGTATGGTTTGTAGAGATTGTCGAGCCGCGTTTACTTCCTCCTGGGAAGGGATGGATGCATTCACATTTCTCAAGAACGAGACATAGGAATCTCGTTCCCTTGTTGCACCTATTAAGCGGCTTTGAACACCAGCGGCAAGAAGCTCGGCACAATCAACACAAACTGGTTGATCTATATCCGTACGTGCAGATACAGTTTCAAAGAAATATGTAGCCCTCTCAAAGTGAGAAAATGATTTGTCACCACCTTCTTGTCCAACTTTGGGTCTTGGATGTTGCGGGCCGTCATCAGTGATACCAGATGCCCCCGCGGTTCCGCTTAGCTGGGACTCTGTGAGCACGACAAACGACATATTTGGTCCATCTTTGAGTCCTGCTCGAGGTCTTGGGCCAGTATTATGCTCGTGCACTAATTGAGGGGTTTCTCGTTTATTAACAGGTACATAGGCCGGCTGAAATGAGTCTCGCCATTGATGAAGCCTCCCGTAGAAGGAACCGGGATCGTGACTGGAGAATCCGAGGCAACAAGCTCCAGGTGAAGCTATGATAAAGATAAGCTAGCATCCGAATCGACCCAACATGGGAACATTACCTATGAGACCAAGAGGAGCCGGGTTCAATGCATCAAGTGAATCGTCATCAACCATTAAAAGTGTGTGGCACTTTTGGCAATACATCTTTAAAATCATCAGTGGTGCTCTGGAACTAGACTTTGGCATATTTTGTCTAGAGTTGTACATGATTAGCTAGTTATGACCAGCGTACCGTCATCCTCTGAAGATGAGTTTGAGTGTCTGTTCCCAAACTATTGTGGCCTGTACCATATTTATCAAGCTGACCAACCCAACAAGCAATTATTTAGGTGGCCAAGTAAGGTGGCTCACCACTCAACGAGCCAAACCACTCGAGCCAAATTCCTTTCAATGCTCCACGCTACGAATTTATTAATTATCTCAACAACGAATTATTATTATTAAACTAGCTATTAAATATTAAATGAGTGTGTTCTTTGAAGCATAGAAATTAGTGTGGCTATGAAAATAAACATGTGGACAGCCTGATATTGCGGCCAGAGCGAGAGATATGGGGGGTGGATAGGAAAGATTGTAAAGGAATGTCAGCAGTAGATTTCTCAGCTAGAGAGTGTAAAGGCTTGTTAGGGAGGCTTGTAGAGCTCTTACTACTGCTTTGGGAAGATTGTATAGGCTTGCTGTGATGAGGTTCTTTCATAGGGAGGCCATGCCGACAGCACTTTGAAGCTGGTGCTTGAAGCTCTGACTGCTGGTGTTTACTAGCATGTTCAACAGCCTGTCTCTCCTTCTCTGCTTGTTGTAAAGCCTTTTTCTTCTCATGGGCAACATGCTGGGCCTCTTGTTGTATAGCACATTCAAGCTTTTCAGCCTCTCATTGCTCACAGGTCTTCATATGGGCAGTCTCTCATTCAATCTGTTTTTCTTCAGCCTCTCTAGCTGCCTGCTCTCTTTGAAGCTCCTGTTGAAGCTTTGCCTCTTGTGTTTGAGCAATTTTGTGAGCTTTCTCAGCCTCTATTTCATTCTGGTGTTCCCAAGCCTGCAGGACTTTTGTAGGACTCCAGAACTGGGCCTGGCTTGGCTTATTGTGATTGAGTAGGCCTAGGGGCTTGCCTCACTTGCAGTGCTGTTTCTCTGTCATGATAGTTGATTTTAGAGCCCAATTTTCATGCTCTAGCAGTTCATTTTGTATTGCAAATTGCTTGCTGGCTTTGATAACCTGTTCAATACTCTGCAAATTTAAGCTGTGCTGAAGATGAATACCCTTAACCTCTTGATGAAGCTCCTGTATATTTGTAGGGATGGAAGGCTTAACTAGTGATGCAGGGCCTTGTTGATCAGCAGTTTCAAATTGGCTTAGTTGATGCTGGGGATCCAGGGGATAAATCCCAGTCTTTGCAAAGCCAGCATGTATATTGTCACCTGTCAAAGCCTTCTTCCATGCTGCATTGAATAGTCTCCAGAAATCCCTTTTTGTCATTTGAATATAGCCCAGTCCACAGCATAGTAGGGATTCCAGCTTGCTGGAATATGTCTTGTCCAGCAGCCCAAAAACACCAACATCAAGAGGCTGCAAATGGTGGGTAGAGTGTGGTGGAAGGATCAACAGCAGAATTCTTTTGTGGTTTGCATATTCAATAAATTTCATATTTATATGGGAAGAATGCCCATCTAGTAGAAGCAGATGTCTTGCCCTACCTGCTTTTGCCTTTGTATGCAGATTAAAAACCTGTTGCAACTACTCCAGGCCATATTCATCATTGCTCCAGCCATTCACTAAGACTGCAAAGTAGGCATATTTGCTTCCATCAAAATCATCCAGCCATGTATCCTGAAGATCTCTGGATTCACCCTGATAAATAAGAGCTGGAGGCAATGCAATCCCATCTGCAGAGACTGAACAGAGCAGTGAGAGGAATTTCTGGCTTCCATCCTGAGTTGCAACACTTTTACCAGCTTGTAGAGCTTTAATAAAGACAAGGCACTTTGAGGCATGACAGGAGTCTAGAAGGAATCCCTTTTCATTAAAGTTGTATGTGTTTTCTGGTGTAATATTATACTGGCTGATTTTCTTGCTCAACTAAATGCAGCAGCACAACAAGTTAGCCAAATTCAATAACTGCACTTGCAAAGAAGCAAAAAAAGCATCCAAGTACAAGACTATAGAAGTGCTGAAAGCAGTGGTAATTATCTGCTACCTGTCTATTCTTGTCAAGCAGCTTGAGATAAACAGACTTGATCTTGTTCTTGTGGTGCTCACAAAACTGTGTCACCCAGTTGATTCCCATGTCCTCTCCCATCATCTCTTGCACAACATTTTGAAGGATTTGAGGTGTAGAAGCAAGGCCACAGTTGCAGAGCTTGTTTATATACTCTAGGAGCTCATCCTCCTGTATATTGGTGAGCTTCTTCTTATGTCTGGAGGTTGCTTCATGGTGATTAACTTGTAGGCCTTGATGCCACCAGTGCAGGGTCTCTCAGCTGACTGAATATTTTTTTACAGTCACACTGTAATTTGGAGTCTCTTGCAATTCAAGATCTTCAATTGCAAGCTTAATTGCTTTGTTGTTGACCATGCTATTGCATATTGAAGTTGAGTGTTGAAGAAATTTGATGGTGCGAAAATTTGGCTTGTTGAGTGGTTTGGCTCGTTGAGTGGTGAGCCACCTTATGGAGTACAGAGTACAACTACAAAAACTTTTTCGCACTCAATGTATGTCACCCATCACATCCATTGGGTAGTTATATTGTGTGGCTTAGTTCCCTCATTAGATTGAATGTTACAAAGAATGCTCTATGCAATTTTTTTTTTTTTTTGGAACAGTTTCAGCTCCCTAGCTCTTCCTCCTCTAGTTTTGACACATGTGGCTGGATCTGGATTCCGCATTCCATCCTCAGGTTCTGTAGATGTGTTCATAGGTGTTTCCAGCATGTTTTAGCAAGCTTTGAATATCTTTTTTCTGTTCTAGGATTTTGATTTCCTCATGGTTCAAAATTTCGAGTTTCTGTATTAGGTCACTCTTACAATTCTCCGTAAGGGCTAAGCTGTTGTAAAAATCCTCGATAGCAGAGCTTAGACTGGGAATTGGAGTAACCTTTGCCGGGGTATCCAGCCGCGAATGGGATTCTCTGCCCTTTTTGAGGCCTTCCATACCTGCACGAAGCTGCATTATCTCATATATAGCTCCACGAGCGCACTCAGATCCATTTCCTTCCGATGCAGTCTCTGCTTCATCAATCAGCCTCTGAATCTTCGTGCGACGCCTCCGTACTTTATCACCTTGCATGTTCATGCTAAGTGGCAACGCAGAGGTGTCATCAGAATCTTCAAAGTCTGCTGTAAAATTCACAGCATCAGGGACTAGCCGCCTATCGGAACGGGACGTCCGTGGTCGAGGAATTAAGGTATTTTCCGCTTTTGATTCTAGTGAAATGTAATCCTGGTCCATAGCCGAGTGCATCCGCCCTTCCATTCCTTCTCGGACGTTAGCATCGGGTGAATGTATAAATAGCGCAGAGTTTTCGCCCGTTTGGCCACATTCGCCACCGGATCTCACTGTGATTTGCTCTTCTAGGGGGTGAGTATGGATGGGAACGTTTCTCAGCGGCGAAAGGGTAGAAATTTGAAGCTCTTTGAGATGTTCGAGATCATATACGGGACCAGCCCCCTGGCTTAATCGTCCTAGAGTGGGATTCTGGGGAGACAGTTTTCCTGTTAATGATTCTTGAAACACGCTTGCATTCGCTGCAGATGATCTCCCACTCGGTGTTTTTCGGCTACGTATCCCAGTACCACTCCGATCATCAGATATCATTCCGGTGGGATCCGGCTCGAACGATAACCGTAATTTTAAATTCCTTTTGAGATTTGTACTCGGTTTCTGTCCCGATACCTCAGGATCTGTCGGAAACATTAGCACCTAAGTCCGTAATGATGCCTTTTGCCTGAAGTATTGGGCGAAAAACGTACCTTGCTCTTGGGAGGCTCGTAATTCAGAGCCATCTTCACCACCGATTCGACGGCCCTTACGCTTCTTATAGGAATTCATTTTGGAGTAGACCCGCAAAAATCAAAAGCAAGCATTTTGATATCAAAGCCGCTGGTTGGTGCTTGGCAGCAGAGTATTCCAGTTGTCAGGACGCTAGTTAGTCTCTATGTACTCCGTAGAGTTTCGAAGTGACTTGACTAGGGAATTGAAGATATTTTGATTTTAGTAGCCGACTTAGTAACTAACTAGTTGTAACTTAGTTAACTAGGTTAATGTAATCCACAAGTGAGTGAAATCCACAAGCAAGCGAAAGATTAAATTAAGGCATCTCAACTAACTAGAATTTAACCCAAAATATCTACACTCAACAACCCCTAAATAGATTAAATTATATTGCAATAGAACTGCAGCAGCTTCTTCTTGTATGGCCTAAAATATGGCAGTTTATACATCTTGGTAGTGCTCACAAATATGATACAGACTCTGAGACTGCAGACTTAGAGAGTTGAGCAACTGTCTATTCAATAGATTAAGCAGGTGGAATGGCAAGCTCAGCAATCTCTTTTCTTGTTAGATCTTCTTCATATTGGATTCAGCACTTAGATCTCATATATTTTTACTTCTCTTTCTTATTTGCAGCAAATATATCCTGATATTACTTCTTTATAATAGTGATGTTGATTATTTTATACTCACAGGTCTTGATAATTCAATCAAATCCTTCTACTAAATCCTGGAGTAAGCTTTCAAGTCTCTGTTTTATAAGATTCTTGACCTTATCTGCCTGCCTATGCAATTGCCGGGGGTTGTGAGGTGTTTGTAAAATTCAGAATAACATCAAGTTACTAGATTGGCTAGCTAAGAAAGTAAAGGTCCAGAGTTAAATATTCAGCTGCTGAAAAACCTAATCTAGATTAAATAAGACTATTCCAGTAGCTATAAAGCTACTTTAAATATTCTGAGTCTTGAAGATCTCTGTATATACTGTAGAATAAGTATCCAGAAAATTTGTCTTTTTAATAATATTAATTTCAAGCTATATTTGCTGTTTAACTAGATTATCATATGTCTGCTTCAAAACTGCAAAAATACTTACATCAAGAAACTGCAAGAGATAGAATAAATATACTGACATATACAGAGAAATAATCTTATTTTTCTTGCAGATATAACTAAATTCTGAAGTAAGATAACTACTGTATCTATTTAGAATAAGAAGTATATGAGTGCTAATTCTCTATAAATTTGCAGCAGAAATAAATAGTCTAGTTAGTTATTTAATTTCTATCTTATTTGTAGTTCAGTTATTAAAACTAATATTAAGTCTTCAGCCAGATGGAAGTCTGTCAAACCAGCCTTTCTGTAGATTTTGTCTCTTAAGAATGATATACAGAGACAAGACCTAGTCTGAGGCATTAACTAATTTAATTACTGTAATCTATTCTTAATTTCCAGACTGTAGAAGCTTTGCTCAGTTATAGTACTCAGCACTAGTAATAATCTTAATAATTATGTAGAAACTCATTGCAAATCCAGTTTTATGAAAGTTATAGATATTTTCTATTAAAATTCCATGCTTAGTAATTATATTCTTTAGAGTTTTAAATTAATCTTGAATAATCATTCTATTTTTATATTTTGCTTACTCATAATTATAGTATCTGAAATAACAATATTTGAGCTCTGTATAGTATTTAATTAGATTTAATACCTAGTTCTAGCCAATACAGAGAAGAGAAGAGATAGAATCTTATATGGTAAGAAGGTAATTGGTCATATTCTCAACAAATACCAGTCAGAGAGGAATTTCTTATTTAGCTAGATCTAGAATTTATTAAACCAGCTGATTTTCTTCAGACTCAGTTAATTTGGTTAAATTTGTATATAGACTGATTTGTGCATGTCTTTCTTTCACTTGATGGTATAAGATAGTATAAGATATATTAAATAGCTGTGCAGCTTTAGTAATTAAGCTAATTTCTTGCTTTTTAAAAGTAGAAATAGCAAGTTCAATCCTGCTCTCTATTTCTATAGAGAATCTTGCATTTTTATTGCAAATTAGTGGCATTGTGATGTGTTGAAGTAGATGGTTGAGAAAGTTGAAAAAATATCTTTTACTCACTTGCAGATTTTGCTTGCTTGTAGATTACATTAGCTGGCTTGGTGGTGGATTACATTAACATAATTCCCAAGTGAGCTGATCACCCAAGCAAACCAATTACTATTTTAAAATTCCACTTAATTAAAGAACTCTTCCACTTCAATGTGCAATTATGCCACCAATTCACAATAAAAATTCTTTGAATTCAATTGAGAGAAAGGGAAGAATTGAACTTGTGATAAAATCTATTAAAAATCAAGAAATTACCTCTATTTGTGAAGCTGCTAGAGTCTATAATATTCCCTACACTACACTTTATAATCAGCTAAAAGAACAAGTTTCATGAATGAATTTATGTGCAAATTCACACAAATTATCTCCTGCTGAAGAAGATAGACTATTATTATTATTATTATTATTATTATTATTATTATTATTTATTATAGTCTTATGCAGTCAGTGACTATGAAGACTACCTAGCCGCTTATCTGTTAGACTTTATTTAGTGTACATTGTAAAAGCTGAAAAATAGAAGAATTACAGTATTTCAAGGCAATATAAGATGTTCTTTCTCCACAAAAGTCAAATAACAGATAGTATATAAAATAAATTTCAAAGAAAAACAAAATTCTTATAGCAGTGTAACATAAATCAAAGAAATAAAGTTAACATATTTGAGAAAGCCACTGTCTAGTAGCTATTCCAGTACATTTCAGAAATAAAACTAGCCATCTTAGACTTAATTCAGTTTCAAAAATAAAATTTAAAGATAGTTGAGAAATATCAAGCTCTTGTTAAATTTTTCTTCCTTCACTTTAATAAGCTGAGCAGTCTAATAATAGATGCTTTAGATTTTCAATATAATTGCAGAAAGAGCATAAGTTGGAAGAGTAGTCAGATAATCTTACTAGATAAGATCTGAAATATTCATGACCAAGCCTTAATTGACAAATAGTTGATTATATCTTCTTGAATATAGAAAGAGCTGATGCTTTTCATCTGAGCTTTATTTTAAATTAAAAGTAGTAATTTGTAGAGCTTTCTCTATTAAAAAGATCTTTATACCACTCTATTATTGCTTGTTTTTTATTTGTCTTTTTATATAAGTAAGAGATATATATCTCTCTAAATAAACTTGATTTAATTCTGTAGCTTTTTTTGCTGCTAGATCAGCTTCTTCATTTCCATGTATATTTACATGTGCAGGAACCCAATGAAGATGTAGATTACTTTGTTGATTTTTAATATACTTAGCAGTTTTTCTTATAGATTGAAGATAATATAAGCCAGAATTAAGATCTTGATTTATAAGTTTCTGAATAGCAGCTTGACTATTAGAAAACACCCAGATATCTGATATTGATCTTGATTAAGACTCAGAGATGAAACTTGCTAATTTAAATGCTTTATCTATAGCAAAGAGTTCTGCATCAAAGACTTCAAGATATTTATCTAGATTCTATAAGAATCTAATATTATCTTGTAAATTGTATACACTAGCACCAGCATATTGATTTTCTTCAGCTTTTGGTCTATCTGAATAGAGAATTAAAGATCTATTGTCTAGATTTTTAATTCTATTTAGATGACTATTTTTAGCTGTTTTCTTGTCTGATTCTTCAATTTGAATATCTATTAAATCAGCTAAATTTTCAAGCCAAGGTGCATTCCCTTTTGCTTTGATTTTCTCTGTTTTTAGAGAAGATAATATGTTTGAAATCATTGAACAAACTCTGAATAGTTGACTTGGATACTTTTTTTGTTTATTGATTTTTCTTCTTTTTCTTTTAGTTGATACTTGTTCAACATATTCATTATTTAGTTCTGATTGATTCCAGTTTAAAAACCTTCTCCAATCAAGATCAACATCATTATTATATGGTGGAAAGCTAGAAGATACTCTTTCTCTGATTGCATATTCTTTTGACATTTTTAATAGTCTATAAGCATAGTTTCTACATAGTCTATTAAATCTTACTTTGGCAGGGGGGATAGCAGCTTCAATCTCTATAGCATATACTGGAGAGGTTTTAAAAGCTCCTAGAATCTTTTTTAAAGCAGCCCCTGGCCCTACAGCCACTCTAACCCTGGAGTCTCTAAGGCCCATCCAGGGGTCAACTAGGCCTGTAGGGCATGCAAATGCAGAGGGATACATCTTAAGCTATTATATATGTGCCTATAATAACTGACCACTACAAACTATCCTCTCAAGCTAGCATTAACTATTCTGATTCTAGTTAAGCCACTACTGCCCAGTTTACTGATCTAATAACTAGACCTTGCCTTCCAGTTGCTAATCTCAGCATCCCAGCCTACCAATTAGCTGTCATGGTCTCGCCATTTTACTAATGATTAACCAATTATCTCTAGAGATAGTCAACCATCTCTAGATAACTAGGGGTGCCCTTGTCAGGTGGTTTTCAAATCTATTCCCCTGAATTGGCACCTCACGTAGTCACCTAATTATTAGTTATTATTGAATTACTAGGTGGAGTAGCTTTTAGTAGTACAGTAGAGCCTACCTACTTGCATTATTTTAGCTTCACTAGATGCTAGATGAACCCACTATCTCTACCCAATCATCAGTTATTATTAGTTAGTGGGGTGGCAGGTTGTGGCAGGTTACTATTCAGGCACCCCATGTAACCTGGTTAGATGAAGAGTTAGTCAGCAAAACTGCAAAAATAACCAGGTCTTCTGGAGGGTTAGCATTGTACAGTTATCTTGATAGTTGTATACTAGCTGGTACAGAAAGTGGTTATTAGGAGAACTGGTTGTAGATTATGTAGATTTTCCCAAAATTAGGGGTATGAAAGAGCTAAGTAGGTATAATGTCTGCAACTAATAGAAGAGAGTTGTGTGTAGAATGTAGAAGTTCTCTAACTAGAAGACTGAATGCTGAGATTTTCATGATCTGTGTGGATTGTGAGATTCTTATATATTCAGAGTTGGGGTTATGTGAGTACTCCTGAATATCTGATATTGTCTGATGCTTGATTAATCTAAGTCTATATTTGTAACACTATTTCCCCCTCCAGAGATCTCCAACTTTAAGGTATAAAG